AGTTTATAAACAAAAAAGTTAAAGTTATTTCAACAAAGATGTTATAATATTAAATATAAAGACATTCAGGAAATAGTATCATTCACCATGACAACATAAAAGTCCTGAAATATTATTACTGCTGAAATAATTATTTATTAAGTAGAGTGTTCATTTGTTTTACCAATTATGCTTGTATAATAAAGACTGCTATATTACTGTGGTTATGATGACTTCTAAATTTTTTAGATTATAAATTAAAATGTAAGATTCAATATGCTAAATTTCAAACTCATTTAACTTGGATAAAAATGGCTTAAAATAAAGATTCAAAGTTATATTACTAAAGATCCACCAAGATCATTACTGACAATTACACCTTGACTTTTCTAATAAACTACCATGCATCATATTGTAGACTGAGAAATCTTTTTATAACTGGTAGTAAGACTGTTTCTTCTACCTACCAATGTTAAGGAAAAATCTCTAGAATTAATATTAAAGAGACCCCTATGTCAAATCTAAGGCAAAACAATAATGTTGGGTTTTGCATATGCTTTGGGTGATGAAATGTACATAACTAAATAGGAAGACGGTGAGTTTCTGTGGCATTGTAGACTCTATGGCACTGTACTTCTACTCAACAGTCTACAAGAGTCAACACAGAAAGAATCTGGAGTAAAGTGGTCAACCACTGATGCTGTTGTTGTTATTGCTGTTGAGTTGCCTACGACTCATACAACCCTATGCACAACAGCTCTAAACCCTGCTCTATGCTGTGCCAATCTTATTGTCTCTGACACACCTACCCCCATTACCCCAGTCACTGAGTTAATCCATCTCATTGAGGGTCTTCCTCTCTTGCACTGTCCCTCCAATCTCCCAAGCACGACATCCCTCTCCAATGATGGGTCCCTCCTGGCAACATGTCCAAAGTATATCAGACGAAGCTTCAGAACCAACCACTATTCCAGTAATATTATAGCAATCTTCTACCACTGAGAAAATGATATACTAAAATCTACTGCTGATCTTTAGAGCTAAAGTAGGCTAAAGGGGGGTGAAGTTTCAACAAAACACTGGCATGGTTGATGGTGCCACTACAATTATCCCGTTATTATTTCTTAACATTTAAACTTGAATTATTAAAGTGTATAAATAAACAGCATAGAGAAGTAATAAGGCATATTTTCAAATTTCTTAGGAATTCTTTGATTTTCACTGACTGTGGTGGTGGACTGTCAAGGCTATGAATGACTTTATTTTGTTCCCAATCTCTTCCTAGAGTTTAAAGCTCAGATCTGAGTCCACGATGCCTTGTAACATACTACAACTGAGAATATCATGAAATATTAAGAGTTTTTAAGACTAAACCATACTTCAAAACAGACAGTTATCATCAATTTCACTCAAATGTCTTTTTCAAAATATCTGATGGCAGAATGAGAACAGTAAGTAAACTGCTAATCAAAGATATAAAAACATTAATTTTATCAATAAATTAAAATAAATTCTTCGAACTCAAGCAATCATTTCCTGAAGCTGCCTTCTCACTGCCAAGTAACCAGTAGTTTAAAAGAGGCCACTTTGAAGCATTTGGAATCTGTAGTCTTTGGAAAATATTAAAGACTTTAAATAACAAGAAAAAAGAATGAACTAAAAGAATAATGAGTGTGTGTACCATCAAATTGGATCTGACTGGTACAGGAGGAGATTGTTTCTCCTTCTCCAGCAGAGCATCTGGTGGATTTGAACCATGTACCTCTGGGAGAAGAGCAAACTGGAGGGTAGGAGTGCGCAGGGAGAAAAGTGCAACAATGAATGAATGGAAATCCAAAATCTCTGTAAATGTTCATTAAAATCAATAAAATATTTTTTTTTAAAAAAAGAATAATGAGACACTAAAATTACAAAGTAGAAAACATACACAAATATCTTCATCAGAAAATATCTACCTAACCCCTCCTCAACACACTTAAGAAACAAAATAAAGCAATAACAACAAAACCAATTTCTTTATTTCAGGCATGAAAGCATTTATATAGCTTAGTGAATTCCACTGTACTAGTACATTTAACCTCATACAGTTTTCATTTAGGTCAAAACTATTTTTATGTCAATTATTATTTTCATACATTGATTTGCTATTTAATCAAAAGAATAATTCCATCAGTCTCACTCAATTATAAATCACCTTAATTATTTTATCATATTGAATTTGGAGGGAGGTATGTACATATATATATATACACACACACATACAAAAACATACAGGTAAAAACATCAGAAATTTCTCTAAACAAAATGTTTCAATATTTGTTTTAGATTCTTTTTTTCCAAAGTATTTTTTAATTGGATTTCCTTTGTAGAAAAAGCATTTCTATACTTCATTAAATGGCTCCTGACTCAAATCTAGTATGCTTTTGTACACTTGTCAAGTAGATTCCAACTTACAGTAACCCTAATGAACACACCTAATTACACTGCTAGATGAGAGTCAGAGTTTAAAGAACTAAAATAGGAGGAATCTCCCCTACAGCCAAAGTGAGAAGTAACAAAGCAACAATTCCTATTGTTGATCTTGTTGCTCTGAGCCAAGCTGGAACTAACTCATAGTTAATCCTCCACCAGGTTCACAGCTCAGAGCCTGAAAACTGCAGTAGAGGAAACTGTCCATCCTTCTACCTCAAAGCAGCTGGTGAATTCGAACCACTTGCCTTTGAGTCAGCATCGCAACTTCTTACCTAGCAAGCCACTTAGAGCTCCCTAGTTCCCAGATTATCGTTGTGTACCATTGTCAGAACTCACAGCTAACCCTCAAAGGCTTTTCAGAGACAGTTAATCACATTGAAGAAAACTGTCCGTCTTTCTCCCATGGAGCAGCTGGGAGATTAAAACTATGTACGTTTGGGTTGGCAGCACAATTCCTTACCACTAAGCCACCAGAACTCCCTTATTCCCAAAGGAATAGTTAACAAAAAAAGACATAAAGCATCGAAATCACACTACATCCTCAACATACTAAAAGATTTCTAAAAGGAAATGCTGCCTTTTACATTGCAGCAGACATTTTCATTTTTAAACAAGCATTATTATCCTCTACATATATAAACAGTTTGGAGGCTCATGTGTGGAATACTTGGATTCTGGAGGATAGGTTCTCTTGATTTCATTGAAATTTGGGTGTAAACTATCTGACTGTTTTTTTATTTCATTCATAATTGTGTGTAAGCTGATTGGTTGCCTGAATTTAGTTAGCAATCAGCTGTGGGCTAGCAACCTCTTATTTGACTGTAAGTCAATCAGGACCTGGTGGGTGGGCCTTTTTTATTTAAAAGTCAGTTGGGCCCGCAGGCCTGGTGTTAACTGTGTTTGGAAAGATCATTGTTCTAAGCAGTATAGCACTGGTCTGTCAGTTTGCTGTACTGAGATAACTTGGGGTTATTGTGATTCTGAATGCTGTGCCACTGGTGTGACAAATGTCATCATGGTTACCCAAGGTGAACAGGGTTTGGCAGAGCTCCTGGATTAAGACAGGCTTGGAAGCAGCACTGGCATCTATTTCTTACAAAACAGGCCTTTGGAAACTCTATGAACATTAGAGAACTCTATGAACATTACAGAACAAGGTTTAGATCTTTTGTTCATGGAGTCACTACCAGCACTTAACAGCAACAGATACACATATAATCATGTAGTCTTTCTAGGGTTACATGAAATAATGATTCTGAGTTTTATACAAATCTAAAAAAACATATTAAGAGGTTTTCAGAGTATTTACTGATAAAGCAAGATGACCACTGTACGCTACACATCAGCTTTTAAAATCCTATGAAAAAGTGATCTTCCTTTTAATATCTGTACCAATTATAGTCCTCATCAAAAAATGTGTACAAATTATGTGCTTAAAATACTAATTATAGCTGCTCCTCAAATTAAATTGATAGTAACTCTGGTATGATTTTCAGTATGATTTTTCTGGTCAGAATTATGTTTAGATGGCTTGAAATGTAAAAAACCAAAGGAAAATATGAGTATTCTCTGTAAAATACCTTTTGGGTGAAGTGTAAAAGACAGTAGACTTTATTTGGCTGTTTTAAGGGGGGAGTGGGATAGCAAGGCAGAATATGAACAAAGAGCCACTCGTTACGATGGTAGACAGGATCTATTCATGTTCCCACAGGTCTTAGGGGACTAAAAGAGGAAGAAAATAGGTAGAGCAAGTCACATTGTACTAGTCTTTTAGGGGAAGGGGACAGTTAGGCCTTGGAATCAGAAGCCCAAACTTTAGAAGGTTAACTAACAACTTCAAAGCTGTATCTTCCCTATATAATAAAACCTTTTCTTTTCTTGCTAATTAGCCAAGTTGCTCTCTAAGACGTCAGCCTGAATCGGGTGGGCTAAGCACAAAAAGGTTGTGACGCTATAGGTGGATTAGGATTTTAAAAGCCACTAGTGACAGAAGAGCAGTGGAATCAAGTTTACAATATTTAAATTAAAAAAAAAAGAAGTAGGAAAAAGGAAAGACAGAAACATATCCAACTGTGCAACCTACCATTCCCTACATGTGAAGGCATCTTCCTTTGTAAATTTTTTTAACACTATCCAAACCACCTTCACTTTTATAAGATGAAAGAATCAAAGTACTCCCAAAACAGACTAAAATTACCACTAGAGACTAATATAACAGGGATCTATATACAGTCAGGGATCTAAAAAAGGATTCCACAATACAATGTTTAAAAAACTTTTAAACACTCACCTGTAGGCTTAACTGAATAAAACCCAATGGCCTCTCCTTTCTTCCACAGAATCTTAGCATAATCAGTACTGCTATGACACAGAAATGGGATCTCATTTTTCTCCATTTCCTGCTTTCTATAAATAATTCGATTCAGAACATACAGAACCACTCTCTCCCCAAGAGTGCTCACCTACAAAGAGAGTCAAACACCAGGCACAGCAGTTACATTATGCATCAATTCAGAGATGCTATTTACCTTGCTCCTGGCTTCATACTTCATATTTGCATTCAAAGCAGCTCTAATAAATACATTCGGAATGATTCGCAAAACATTTTGTCACCTCACAAATAAGATTAATCATTCATACCAATAATAATCAATTTCTACACTACATATTGTATGTGAAATAATGCCTCTTAGCAAAACTCAAAACTAGCAAAACTGGTTTGCTGTCTCTACTATTTTTCACCCCTTTTCAGTTTTGACATTAAGATAAAAATAACTCAGTTCTTGACTTCTACGGTTCTTCTGGACAACTATCTCAATTTGTTGAGCAAACCCATAATTAAGCTTTTGGGAAAATAATCAATCTCATCCATTCCAGGTAAAATGTTGATGTAACAGCCCTGTCTGTGAGGCCTACAGAATAACATCCTGCCCCTAATCCATACACATACCCCTCTGCAGATCAGATAAGAGAGGACAGTGGCACTATGGAGTCTAGTGAGAAGACATCTGGGACAGTTACAGAACAGAAGGTGTTCACTTCCCTACATGTGAGGCTACAAGGTCACAGGAAAACCACCTTCATTTTCCATTTTCTGACATCAAATAATGTTTCTCCCCATAAACATCTCTGACTGCTAAATACGTGAACTCTATTCTCTTTTTACCAATCCCCCTAAGAAAGATAAGTTAGCTCCTTTAGCTAACTAAACTCATTCAGTTAACTGAATGAAAAGGAATGATTAACTATAGACATATTATTCTTAAAAAAAATACCCCAATAAAGGATTTTGCAACTCTCTCTCTCTCTCTCTCTCTCTCAAAAGAAATTCAAAAGCTTATAAGGAAACTATTCCATCCTTTGGGTAACTGTGACCATTATCAAATTCTTCTTCATTCTCAGCGGAAATCTATTTCCTAAACATCGTAATTTAAAACGCTGTAGGATAAGTCAATAAATATATAGACTATGATGTTCCCCTGAATGTTATACCAAAACTATGCACAGGAACAACTGAAAGTAATCATTAATGGAACATAATTTTGGGTGTTCTTGACATTCCATTCCTCTCCTTTGAAATTGTCCAGGTCACTAATTACCCTCTCTCCTTATGTTCGTCATGCACATGCTGAAGACAGAAAACAGTAAAATCAGACAGTAATGTTTTTCAAGGTATTATTGGCTTTTTCTTTAATTTTACTTAAGGTAATAAGGAGCAACGATATCAGTCTGGAGACTAAGGTGACCCTGTTACAGGACATGGTCTTTGCAATTACTTGCTATGCATCAGAGAGCTGGACAATGACTAGGGATGACAGAAGGAAAGTTGATGCCTTTGAGCTGTGGTGTTGGAGAACAGTAGTGAATATATCATGGACTGCTAGGAGAACAAACAAGTTCGTCCTGGAGAGGGTGAAGCCAGAATGCTCCTTGAAGGCAAGGATTCTGAAGCTCCGTCTGACATACTCTGGACATGCTGCAAGGTGGGGTCAGTCCTTGGAGAGGGACGTCATGCTTGAGAGGGTGGAGGGACAGCACAGGAGAGGAAGACCCTCGAGGAGATGGATTGGTTTCATCACTGGAGGAATGGGGATATGTGTGTCAGAGACAATAAGATTGGCACAGGATAGAGCAGGGTTTAGGGCTGTTGTACACAGGGTTGCTATGAATCACAGGTGACTCGACGGCACATAACAACAATAACAACAACAACAAATTAACTAAGGTCCTTCCTTTTTCAAACATTCTGCTGATTCGTTTGGTCTTCAATGGGAACATGTACAGGGGTTTGTTTTTCTTCTAAACCTACATTTATCTCTGTTTGATTTCACCATGTTTGAGACTCCTTTTTCTTTCTTGCTGTGACCTTTAGCTGCCCCATTCAGCACTGTGCCATGTAGAATTGTGATGTATGCCATTTATGTCTTAATTCAAGTAATGGATAAAATGGCGACAAACCTCAAACGAAGCTCACTGTGTTGATTCTGACTCAGAGTGACCCTGTAGGACAGGGTTTCTAAGGCTGCAAGCAGCTCTTTACAAGAGCAGAATGTCGCAGCTTTCTCTCATTGAGCAGCTAGCTGGTGGGTTCAAATGGCTGATTTTTTTGTTAGCAGTCAAGCACTTAACCACTGTGCCCTTAGTTTTCCCCCAAACGGTGTCCAGGATAGAAAAAATAATAAAGTCTTATAGTACGCCATTGGAGGCCTCCCTCAAAATAAGTGACCGCAATTTCCCAGGCAGGAAGTTATGGCCTTTATTTCATTATCTAATTTTTCCACTAGAAAAGCTGAGGAAAATGAACCTTATCCAAAGAAAGTAACTGTTTATAAAGTTTTATGTTTTATCAGTATAATAGCTATTGCTTTTGTAATTCTGCCCGCCAACTCTTTCTAATTGGTCAGAATTTGACTATACATCTAATCTCCCTTTACCTATTCTCTATCACTCAATGGGGTGTCATTCAGCATTACAATATTAATACTCAAGGACGCCTGTTGTGGGAGTCCATATAGTCTTATTTTTGGTTTTTTTAATGCCTTTCTGCAACCTCATTCCTAATATCTAAAGTTTCTTCACCTATCTGAGCCAGACTACAACTTACTGTCACAATGTTCTCTTTCTCCATTGTTTAACATTTATACCTCAAATTTCTTCTATAATACACCAAACCTCCAGTACATTTTAAAACTTCACAAGATTTCTTTATCTCTTTATATCTATCTCTCTATCTATCTATCTATCATCTATCCATCCTATCTCCTCCCTTCTTTACCTGTCAGATCAATTCCTAAGAATCCCTCTGCTTTTATCTGTCAGTTTCTGAAAACCCCCATCCTTTACCCATCACCTATCAGAGCAGTTCCTAAGAACCCCCCACCTTTATCTATCAGAGCAGTTCCTGAGAACAGGTTAGACACTTCGATTGCCCTCTCTTCTTCCAATTTCATGGCTTTCCCCAGGATTTTAAATTCCCTCCTCTTCTAAGTTTCTGTGAGGTTTTCCATGCGTCTTATTTTCTAATAACCAGAATGGCAGAGAAGTTTCTTTAATCTCTTTTACCTCTTAACATAAAGACCAATTTCCTTTCTGTAACACTCTTCCCTCAGCTACCTTATATCAAAATCCTGCATAAACTAGGAAACTCCCTCATTCACAAACCTCGTCACTGTACCAAACACTGCACAGACTGCCTAAAAAGGCCTAAAGAACAAGCTTCCTGATTAGTCTCCAAGAGACTAATTGCAGCAACCCATTTAGAAAAAGTGTTTTTCCTCTTTTAATAACAAAATCAGAAGCTAAAGTAGCCAAGGGCAGCCACAGCTCAACTAACCCATAGTACTCATGCTTCCTCATCCAATTCCCAGATACTTCTAGAATCACATAAAGCCAAAAGCCCAAGTGTCAATTACATCATAAGAATGAAACTCAGAGAGGTTAAGATAAAATGGTTACATTAAAATGGAATTGAGCTAAAAAACTTTTAAGAACTATCACTGTATGGAAATATATTGTAAAATAATCTCATAAGAAAAAAAAACCTCATTTAAAGTAGAGTCTTGTTACCTGTTTAAGCCCTTCTCTAGAAGGGAGAGATGTTTTCACAATGTCATCAATAGCCCACCACTGATCAGCAAGGTAAAGTGCAACAGCTAAAATAGAATAAATCATTATTAAGATTTAAGTTTTAAGTCTTATAAAGACAGTATTACTATTTAGCAGGTTAAGAATTATATAAAACTATATTCATTCTAACCTATTGAGAACCTCTGTCAGGTTTCTCAGGCTGTAAATCTTAACAGGAGGAACTGTTTTATCTTCTTCCTGTGAAGCAGTTGGTAGGTTAAACCACTAACCTTACAGTCAGCTGCCAAACATGTAACCCACTAAGCCACAAGGGGTCCCCTTCAGACTATATCTCAATCCCATTGTCATTAAGTGGATTCCAATTCAGGGTGACCTGCCACGCAGTTTTTAAAGCTAAAAAATGTTAACAGGAGGACATTAGCCATCTTCATTGGTGAATTCTAACTGCTGGAGAAAGAGGGTCTCTGGTTAGCAGTATAACATGCTACAGACTACAACATCAGAGTTATAAAGTTCATTGCCACTGAGTCAGAATGGACCCATGGCTGAGCCTCCAGAAGGTTTGCAGAGGCTGCAAATCACATGGGAGGAGATGGCCCAGCTTTCTCCTTTGGAGAGACTGCTGGATGCAAACCACTACAGAGACACTGCCTTTGGGTTAGCTGCACGACTCCTTTCCCATCAAGCCACCAGAGTTCCCTTGTGAGCTACTTGGCTACCCTTAAATATGTCTACACTCAATAATACAATGTAGTCCCATTTATACATTTTTTCTTTTTCTTTAAGGCATTTAATGTTATGAACTGAATAGTATTAACCTTAAAGTGCAGTTTGAAACAAGATCTTTTAAATTAAAAAACAAGTTCTTTCGGGTAGCTAACTTTTAAAATATCTCTAACAGGATAAAAATTCCTCAGTGTACAAAACAAATAAACAAATAAATAAAACCTGTGAGTGAGTCCTCAGGTGCAAAAAGAGCAAGGATTTTCTGGGTCTGATCTCCACCATAAAGAGGCACAAAGCCTACATTTGACAGGCTAATAGGAATCTGAAAAGATAATTGGTTTAAAGTTAGTGAAAAATCTAGTAAGGAAATAAATGACATAATTAAGACTTTCCCCCAATAGTAATTTTACCAATTTATCTCATAGGAAATAGTGTCAACAGTTTTAAAAACAGAGTAAATCAAGGGGATTGATTAATCATGGGGTTGTACAATCTGATGGGTGGAAGGAAAACTGGAAGAATCTGGTCTCAAAAACAATGTATTTTAATTTTATAAATAAACTAGTATAAATAAATTTTTAAAACATTTTTTTAAAAAGAAAAAAAAAACAGTAAATCTAGACTAACTTCTATTTGGAAGGTATATTATTGTCTCAGTGGAATAATGAAAGTATATTTTAGTAAATATTACTGTACCTAGCCATAGGTATGAATAAAAACAAACCTATGATGTAGTCCATAAAGTCATATGGTTTTGAAAAAACTATACCTAAATCACCTGTTCATTAGACTACTTGGAGGGGAGGGGGAATATTCAGTTTAAACTAAAAGAAACAAATTTCCTTTTCTAGGAAGTTGTATGCATGATTTAAAAGAGTTAAGATTGCATTATTTAATCCAGCCCTAATTTTCCACTTATAGGTAATATAATTTAGGGACTTATTAAATATTGGTGCTGATGACAGCATTTAAGGATCAATTACATTAAGATATTCCAGAAGAAAAATTTGAGACTTAAAATTAGGGAATTTGTTCTTCAGTATTACACACTGATTCTCTATCAAGATATATTACAGTCAATTAGAATGGAAGAGATCCACATCTGCATCATTAAAAAAAAAAGGTAATCTAACAGAAAATTATCGAGTATCATTATTACTGTGTTCAAGTAAAATCTCCCTGAAGATAATTTAAAAACAGTGAGGTCAGTAAATTGCTAGTGAACTGACAGAAATCCACACCACTGGAAACATCATGACAAATGGAGAAAAGACAGAAGTTGTCAATAATTTCATTTTACTTGGACCCACAATCAACATCCATGGAAGCAACATTCAAGAAATTAAAAGATGTGTTGCACTGGAAAAATCTGCTGTTAAGGAATTCTTTAAAGTATTAAACAGCAATGATGTAGGTTTAAAGACTAAGGTGCACCTGATTCAAGTCATATTTTAAAGTGCTTTATATGCATGCAAAAGTTGAACAATGAAGAAGGAACATCAAGGATTTGATACCTTTGGCAAAAAGTATTGAATATCCCATGGACTGGCAAAAGAGTAAATAAGTTTGTCTTGGAAAAAGCGCATCTAAAAGGCAAGGATGGTGAAACTTCACCTCACGTACTATAGGCATATTGTTAGGAACTGCCAGGTTTGGGAAAGGTATCAGTGAAAGAGGAAGACCCTCAACAAGTTGGCTTGACACAGAAACTGTAACAATGGGCATCAGCATGGCAGATACTCTGAGGCTACAACAAGATCTGTTTTTTATAGTTTGGCTATGAATCTTAGTTGACTGGATGGCTCTTAACAACAAATAATTAGAACATTAGGTTTTTGTAATTCTAAAATTGAAGAGTCATGACAAAAATTTATACCTTAATCATTGCTGACTTTTTTAAACTTAAAAACTCACAAATTTCAAATCCCAATTTAATTGGGTCAACTAAAAGTAACAAGTCTTAGCAAAAGTGGAGAGTTAACTTATATAGAATTTGAAGGCATAACACAAATAATAAACAATAACTTGTAGAGTACATATTTTAAAATATTGATTGCAATTCTCAGCTAAACATGCTGATTCATTTCTCTGAACTGATTTCTGACAGAGATGTAAAAAGAAAAGATTAGAATTTAAAGATGTTATTTTAAGAAAGAACACTGATTACACAAGTAAACTTAGACTAAACAGAATTCATAAAATCACTATTGATGCCTTACCGTAATATTTAGAAAAGAAAAGCATTCTGGATTTTCTGGGTCCCCACACCTTAGGTCTGACATGTAATCTTCAGCAGAAGTTTCCAGTTCCTCATGACTGCAATTATCCAGCAGATCCACAGGGAACATCATTGTCTTTAATAAACAACACAAGAGCAAGTGATTCAGAATACAGAAAATGAGTTTCCTTTACAAATAGAAAAAATTACTAATATTATTGCAGTATTTTATAAAAAAAGGAGACTTTCTTTTTCATTATATAGACAGGTTACAATTTAAGCCTGCTGGATTTAATCACATGTGTCTGAAAGAAAAAATGTTTAAGTATGCATTCACACTAAAAACCAAGCAAAGTTATTTTAAGAATCAATGGATACTTGATTTAAGAATCAACAGATACTTCCTTAAATTATATATTTATACTGGGGTAGGAAAGAGCTCTAGTGGCGCAGTGGTTAAGAGCTTGACTGTTAACCTAAGAGTAAGCAGGCAATTTGAATGCCTTGGCCACTCAGAGGAGAATGCTGTGGTAATCTGCTTCTGTAAAGATTCTGGCCCTGGAAACCCTATGTTACAGTTGTCCTGCTGTATCCTTCACTGTTGCTATAAATGAAAATTTGACTTGTCAGGAGTGGGCTTTGTAAGTATAGGATGCACAAAGACAAAAATGTACAATCAATACATTCTCACACCCCAGCAACCTAAAAGTTTGTTAAAAAAAACCCACACCCCTATCTTAAAGCACAGTACTGAAAGTAACAGAATAGCATCCATATGCATACAAGGAAGGATCAAACATATCCACAAAATGCTAAAGATGGAAAAAACAGGATTTCTACCAACTCCTGCAGTTTGGTTGAATACAGTATCAAAATGCATTAACAATAACTGGTGATTAGAATGTGCAAGTTGGAAACAAAGCAGGATTCACAGTTAGGAAAAATGGCCTTAGGGAGAGAAATGAGATGGGAGAATACATGACAGAATTTTGTGTAATAAGTGACTTATTTACTGCAGATACCTTTTTAAGAAAATATAAATGAACTATATACAATATATGCACCTCATCTGATGGAGTACAGAGGAATCAAAGTGACCACTGTCAGTAGAAAAAAGGATCGAGAAGTTCAATATTACCAATCAGAACAAGGCCAGAGGCAGACTGTGGAACAGAACAAGTGCTCATATAGAAATTGAACTTGAAGTTGACAAAAATGAAGACAAGTTCCCAAGTGCCGAACTACAATACTGAGTTATATCCAATCCCATCTGAATTTAAAATCCTTTCCATAGATTAGATTCATTGAACGTTCATGAATCAGATGAACTGTAGGATGGCAGCAAGTACATTATATGATGGAAGCAAAGAATAATTTAAAAGATAAGACCAAAATGGATGTCAGAAGAGACCTTGAAACTTGCTACAGAACCTCAAGAAGCTGAAGCAAAAAAGGAGAACAGAAGACGGCAAAGGTCAGCTCAAGGAAACAAGGCAAAGCACTATAATGAATAGTGCCAAGAACTGGAAATAGAAAAATCAAAAGATTAAACGACACTGAATATTCTCAAAGAACTGAGAACAATGTCAAGCCTCAGCTGTAATACAGAAGGACTGCACAGTCAAAATAATAAATGTAGACGCGTCAAAAGAAAATGCAAGGAGTATGGAGTCACTGTATCAAAAAGAATTGGTCAATGTTCAATCATTTCAGGAGTTAGTAAATGATCAAGAATCAATGGTCCTAAAGGAAGATGTTCAAGCTACATTAAAGACTTAAAAAAAAAAATAAATAAAGCTCCAGGAATTGAAAGAACACTGGCTGAGGTGTCTCAGCAAACAGATGCAAACTTGGATGTGCTCTCTCATCTGTGCCAAAGGATTTGCAAGACAGCTACCTGAACAACTGACTAGAAGAGATCTACAGTTGTGACCATTAAAAAAAATTTGAAAAGGTGTTACACCAAATTTAGAAATTACTGAATAATATCACTAATATCACATATCAGTAAAATATTTCTGAAGATTCTTCAGAGTCAGCTGGAGTAATAAGGAAACAACTAGAAATTCAAGCTGGATACAGAGAGGCTATGGAATAAGTAATTATCATTATGGGCATTAGATGGCATCTAACTGAAAGTAGAGAATACCAGAGAGATATTTACTTGCACTTTACTGACAATGCAAAGGCATTTGATTATGAGAACCATAAGAAATCACTGACAAATTGAGAAGAATGAGAATCTTAACATTTAGTTGTGTTCTTCAGGAATCTGAACACGGACTAGGAGGCTGTCTCTGGAACAGAACAATGGGATACTGCATGGTTTAAAATCACAAAGGATGTGCTTTCAGTGTTGAATCGTTGCTGAGCAAATAATCTGAGAAGCTGAACTATATGAAGGATATGGCATCAATACTGCAAAAGATCTATCAACAACCTGCAATGTTCAGATGACACAACTTTACTAGCTCGTAGTAAAGAGGACTTGAAGCACTTACTGAAAGAGATCAAAGACTTAAAAAGAAAAATCCTCAGAACTGGATCAATATGCAAAATCATAATAAATGGGGGGAAATTTTAATTGTCAGTGATTCCATTTTACTATTTTACTGGAATCAATAATCACGGGAGCAGCAGTCAGAAAACTAAATGACACTGCAATGGGCAAATCTGTCAAAGACCCCTTTAAAGTACTAAAGAGCAGGGTTGTCACTCTGGATACTAAAGCGTACGTCACTCAATCCACGGTATTTTAAATAACTTCACATGCAAGTAAAAGTTGTACAGTGAGTAAAGAAAACCAAAGAAAAAAATGTACTACTTTGAATTGTGGTTCTGGCAAAGGAAACAGAATATACCACGGATTATCAAAGCAACACATCTGTCTTGGAAGAAGAGACTATCTCACACACTTTGAGGACCTTATTATAATGGGGTCTGTCCCCTGAGAAGGACAGCATGTTGGCAGAACCAGAGGATCAGCAAAAGAGAGGAAGACCCTCAATAAAACAGACTGACACAGTTATTTGGATTCCACTGGGTTGAGATTGTGAGGATGGGCAAAATTGGGCATGGTTTCATTCTGTTGTCCACTGAGTTGCCATGAGCTTGAATGAGCTAAGCAGAAGTCATCTAACAATGTTCCTTATATTTAAACAAGACATTCTTTTCTTTTCCTAAAATTACAGAGTATTTTGTCGTTAGGTGTTGTTTAGTCAAGTATAACTCATAACGATCCTATGGAGAACAGATCTGAATCCTGTCCTATCCTCATCATTTCTGATATATTGAGCCCACTGCTGTAGTCACTACATCAATCCATCTTGTTAAAGGTCTTCTCTTTCTCCTCCCCTCCACTTATGAATGATGTTCCTTTCGAAGGAATAGACTCTCCTAACAACATGCCCGATGTATGTGAGGCGAATTGTTAGCATCTTTGCCTCAAAGGAGCATTCTGGTGCACTTTGTCCAAGACATATTTGCTTGTTCTTTTGGCAGTCCATTGGATATTAAGCACTCTTTTACAACAATATAGTTCAAAGGCATCAATTTCTCTCTTGTCATCTTTATTCACTATCTAGTTTTCAGATGCCTAGCAAATAACTGAAAGGACCAAGGCTTGAACTGGGTGCACCTTAGTTTTCAAACTGACATCATTGCTCCTCTGTAATTTGAAGAGGTCCCCAACAGCCGACTTTTCAAATGCAGTATGTCTCCTGATCTCCTGAGTATCTTATACTCTTTATTACAGTCATTCTTTGACTCAACACACGAGAAACGTCAGTTCTTGTATCTCTCATTAATTTGATTATTGATATTACTAAATAGTATTCCATTTTATATAAATATTATTTGTTTATTGTTGATGAGCACTTGTGTCCAATATTTAACAATTTTGAATAATGCATTCCTGCTTGTCTTTTGATGGAAGTGCCAACTCAAAGGCACTAAGCAGCCCACTTGTTTAAGTCCACCATCACCTCCAAGAAAGAAAGAGGTACTAATTTCTTCTCGGCAATTTACAGCCTCCAGAAAGAGACTGGAGGGTCAGTCATCAGTCTATTCCAGATAGATGGCAATGTATATGCTGTTCCATACTGCTGAATCAGAAGCAACCCATAGCTGACTCTCCAGAGGGTTTTCGGAGGTGGCAACTGCATGAGAGGAAGTTGCCCATCCTTCTCCTGTGGAGCAGCTCGTGGATTTAAACTGTGTACTTTCAGGTTGGTAGTGCATTTCCTTACTTCTAAGCCACCAGAGCTCTCTAGATGGCAATGAGTATTGAGGTATTTTCAATATACCCAAACCAATCAATAATCCTAAAAAAAACAAAACTAGACATTACATGCTTCCTGATGTGATGTAATAAGAAAACTGGACCAACTCTAATCAAACCTCTAGAAAAACATGTTAGAGGACACCTTAAGCTCGCATTCAAGCAAATTTAAAAGAACTGTTTCTTCAACAAATACATGATATATGAGGTCAAATAAAAAAAAGAGGAGGGTGGAAATTAAAGTAAAAAATGTAAAAGATTTTTTAATCAAAAGCATTGTGGAAATGATCTTGAATTTACATATACTTAAAAAATTCCATGATAAAGAGTTAAATTAAAAAAATAAACTTAAGTTCTACATCAAATACATGATCAGTGGCGAAAAGATTGAAGTTATCAGCAATTTTATTTCATGTTGATCCACAATTAACATTTATTGTAATAGCACTGGAGAATTCTGCTGTCCAGGAGCTCTCCAAAGTACTAAAAGACCAACAATGTCATTTTAAAGACTAAAGTGAACCTGATCCAAGCCATGGTATTCTAGGCATCTAAAAACTGAACAACGAATAAAGAAGACAGAAGAATTGATGCCTTTGGAGTGTTAGAGTACTAAATATCCTATAGAATGTCAAAAATATAAGCAAGTAAGTGTGTCTCGAAGGAAATGCAGCTCAGGCATTCTTTAGAGGCAAAGATGGTGAAATCTTGTATCACATTCTTTGGGCATGATGCCCTTAGAAAAAGACACTATGCTGGAAAAGGTGGACGGTCAGTTAAGAGAAGGAGCCCCCAACAAGACGGACTAGCATGCTAACCTGGTGGGATGGTAAGAATGATGTAGGACAGAACAA